CGTAGAAGAGAGCTACAACAAACAAAATGATAAGGTGTACGCACACAGTAGTGAAGAAGCGAGCAACCGTATTCCGCGTGTCCAACGAGGTCATTTTCCATCCTCGCTCATGGTATGGTTGGGAGTTTCTTATTGGGGCTTAACAGAGGTACATTTTTGTGAGAAAGGTGTAAAAACGAATGCAGTTGTGTATCAAAATACAGTCCTGACGAACCTTGTGGAACCTGTTTCTCATACCATGTTCAATAACAGGCACTGGGTATTCCAACAAGATTCGGCGCCAGCTCATAGAGCGAAGAGCACACAAGACTGGCTGGCGGCGCGTGAAATCGACTTCATCCGGCACGAAGACTGGCCCTCCTCCAGTCCAGATTTGAATCCGTTAGATTACAAGATATGGCAACACTTGGAGGAAAAGGCGTGCTCAAAGCCTCATCCCAATTTGGAGTCACTCAAGACATCCTTGATTAAGGCAGCCGCCGATATTGACATGGACCTCGTTCGTGCTGCGATAGACGACTGGCCGCGCAGATTGAAGGCCTGTATTCAAAAGGAGGTCATTTTGAATAAACTTTAGTGTCATAAGAATCTATGTTTTGTTAAGTTCATTTTGGTATATGAATGGTTACATAATGAATAAACTTGTTTCAATTATTTTACATTAAACATGTGACAGAATTTATGACCTGACTAGGTATTTATTTTAATAGTCGTACATTGCTTTCAAATCTAAAGTATTGAACATTGAAAATGCATTAACAGTGCTGTTAGCTCAATGATTCTATTCACTTGAATGTAGTCGAATAGAATCATTACGGAGAAGTGAACATTAAGTGTTTTCCTTGTTCGTGGTTATAGTGTGCTGCTAATGACAGTCCGAAAGCTAGACTTCAATAAATAATAGTTTAAAAAAACTAAAAAAAAATACGCTTTTATAGAAAATCCAACAAAAAAATAGAAAATATGATTTTAATAAATTTGAATTAAAAATAGTGTAAGTAAAAATGATTTTATTGTAAAAAAAAAAAGCGTGGGGTGCTAGCTTTTCAGGATATTATCAAAATAACCCTTTTACTCATATCTGTTTATAAAATATTATATATTTTTCACTTTTTCATTGAATTTCAAGTTTTCAGTATATTTTTTTCAATTATTTTTTAAATATTGAATTGTCATCAATCCTTAATAAGTATGCCAAACTTCGAGTTAACCCGACGTTTTGAAGGGGGTCAAAATCATGTTCAAAGATTCCTCTACAAACATACATACGTCTGAAGCTAATAAAAGCGTATTAAAAAGAGCTTTAGTTGCCTCCTAATTGAGAGGGTCAGCGCAAAAGTGGCCTAACTCACAACTTTCTAATTCGTGCTTATATATTGCAATTTTTTTAAAACATAATCATTGTTTATACAAAACCGGCCTATCCCTAGTTTCACCCATGGCTTACAGATGGCTTTGTAAATATTCTTTTTGCGCGTCTTGTTTTTGCCTATGAAGCATTGAAAAAAAATAATTAAAACCTCAGTATCTCCGTACTAACTATAGTAAGCCCACTATAAATAGTAAGGTCACTTTTGCGCTGACTGACTCAATTATGTTAGAACGAAGATTACTCACTAGATCGCTGTTGTAATACCCGCATAAAACCCGCACCCCATTGTAGCCCGTTGTTAATAAACAAATCCTATTAATATTATAAACGCGAAAGTTTGTAAGAATGTATGGATGTATGTTTTTTACTCTTTCACATAAAAACTACTGATTGGATTCTGATGAAACTCCACAATAATATAGCTTACACATCAGAATAATTTAAAAGCTATAATTTCTAAAGATATAGTATGAATTACCCAAAATATAACGATAAGTGTCAAGTAGCTTAAAAAAATCTGCCATCTTATTTTCGTAATCAATAATAAATTACAATTCTCGAAGCGAAGCGAGAGTGGGTCGCTAGTCTATACTATACTTATCTATACTATTATCTACAGTGGTTTTTACGGATGTTCCGTTATAACTACTGAATCATGCATCCGATTGACTTGAAACTTGGTATCCATGTAGAAAATACATGAACTTAATGGATAGGCTAATATTTAAATGAGTGTTGGACTCCCTAATAATAATGACAATAAATAATAATGTTAATTTTAAATGCCCGGGCGAAGCGGGCAAGTACGGCTAGTATTATCTATGAGCTAGTAGTATTATATGCACGGACCCCCCTCGGGTGAAGCCGGTGCTTTTAGGTACCACAAGCACCGGTCAACGTTCTTGTCAAAGCCGTCGCTTGTGACGAACCATGTCGCGTATTTTAAAAGATGACTTAGGACTTGCAGCCTATAAGAGACGTACTGGTCATTTCTTAACTGATAATTTAAAAGAGAATAGGGTGGTAAAATCGAAACAACTACTGAAGCGGTACGCAAAGGGAGGTCATAGAAAAATTTTGTTTACGGATGAGAAAATTTTTACAATTGAGCAACACTTTAACAAAGAAAATGACCGTATTTATGCTCAAAGCTCTAAGGAAGCTTCCCAATTAGTCGACAGAGTACAACGTGGGCACTATCCGACTTCAGTGATGGTTTGGTGGGGGTATTAGAAGGAGTGACTGAGCCATACTTTTGTGAAAAAGGTATCAAAACATCGGCACAAGTATATCAAGATACCATTCTTGAGAAGGTAGTGAAGCCCCTTAACAACACCATGTTCAATAATCAAGAATGGTCCTTGCAGCAAGACTCGGCGCCAGGTCATAAAGCTCGGTCTACGCAGTCTTGGTTGGAAACGAACGTTTCCGACTTCATCAGAGCTGAAAACTGGCCGTCGTCTAGTCCCGATCTTAATCCGCTGGATTATGATTTATGGTCAGTTTTAGAGAGTACGGCTTGCTTTAAACGCCATGATAATTTGGAGTGGAGAAAACAATCCGTACGATTGGCAGTGAAAAATTTTCCCATGGAAAGAGTGCGTGCTTTTATTGATAACTGGCCTCAACGTTTAAAGGACTGTATTGCAGCCAATGGAGCCCACTTCGAATAAGCTTTTTATACTTTAAATTGTTTTTAGTTATGTATTAAACTAACACTGTAAAAGTAATAAATGTTATTTGCAATAGAAATTTTTTTATTTTTAATTGTAACAGTATTTATGGCCAGACTAAGTATATATTATTATGTACATGATAATTTATAAACTCGGAGAAGCCAATTGTCATACTTTAAAAAATATTTCCATCATGGAGAAATAGCTGCGTGTAATAAAAATCTAACCTCAAAAATAATTATAATTTGGTATAATTACGGCTTTTTTTTATTGCTTAGATAGGTGGACGAGGTCACAACCCACCTGGTGTTCAGTGGTTACTTGAGCCTATAGACATCTACGACGTACCTAAATGCGCCACCCACCTTGAGATGTAGGTTCTAAGGTCTCGGTATAGTTACAACGGCTGCCCCACCCTTCAAACCGAAACGCATTACTGCTTCACTGCAGAAATAGGCAGGGCGGTGGTACCTACCCGTGCGGACTCACAAGAGGTCCTACCACTGGTAATTACGCAAATTATAATTTTGCGTGTTTGATTTTTATTACACGATGTTATTCCTTCACCGTGGAAGTCAATCGTGAACATTTGTTTAGTACGTATTTCATTTGAGCAATTGGTACCCGCCTGCGGGATTCGAACACCGGTGCATCGCTACATACGAATACACCGGACGTCTTATCCTTTAGGCCACAACTAGTGTGTGCGCTTAGTGCTTAGAGCGAGCTTAACGTTGTCGATAGCGTAAAAGTTACCTCAATTTTGTATGCAGTTGGAACAGCGCCCCTAGCGGCAAACGTACGCAAACGATCCCATTCCATACAAAAATATGAGCTAACTTTTACGCTATCGAGAACGTTAAAAAACTCGCACTAAGCACAGTAGTGTGTCCACACGGCTGTGCTATTACGGGTATGGCAATTAGGTAAGTTCGCCATTTTTTTAATTTTTCGGTCGATTTAGCAGCTCAAAAATCTCTTACTACTGAGGAGGGTCGTTGTGGATAATGTAGACCGAATAGTAAACCGTCGACGTCGCCCAAAGCACGTCATTACGGATCCTCCCGATCCATTAACGGTGCTTTTAGGTACCACAAGCACCGGTCACCGTCCTCGCCGAACCCGTCGCTTGCGACGAAGGGCTCGACGAGTGAATTAACCCACACACACCGCCCACTGAGTTTCACGCCGGATCTTCTCAGTGGGTCGCGTTTCCGATCCGGTGGTAATTCTGCGAAGCACTGCTCTTGCTAGAGTCAGTGTTAGCAACTCTCCGGTTTGAGCCCCGTGAGCACACCTACACACGATAGGGTAAGCTGAAATAGCCTCTCAAGGCTATCAGCATAGGTAGGGTGGATAATTTTGAGTCCCACTTATCCGTATCACTCTATACACACGTTCAGGTACCAAAATAAAACTTCACAATAGCCGATAAATCTTATTTATATTCTCAATTTCATTACAAACTACATGATTATTAAAAAAAAAACAATACAATTATTATTATACACGGTCGGTAAGTCATTTATCGATCGACTCTTCAAATAATTGTAGTATGGATATCATCTATAGCGTTCGACGTGTTAAATAGAAAAATACACTTATATTTGAAAAGCACATTCGGAGTTATCACTGCTGCTGTCTTAAAATGAAATTTATACATTATCGTGAATGTAAATATAACAATTTATTTATTGTTCTTCATTATCAATAAAAAGTTGACATAACCACCCGCACTTTTCAGCTAGATATTCTTGCCAGAGCAAAAAAAAAGCGTTAAGGCTGTATTCAAAAACGTCTCAGTCTGCCAATTACTCAAATGTTTGGGTCAAATAAACATTACATTCAAAACTAGTTTAGATTTTGACAAATATTGACCTAGACGACTCAATATTTTTCGTTTCTTGCTTGCCAAGAACGCTTGAAGTGGTGACCACGACCATTTTCAGAATTTATCAAGGAAGAAAATTCGAGGATGTATCCACCAGCTAGAGGGAGTACGCCAAATATTATGTTTATCTAATATTGTTTTGTAAATATAGTCAGCGAAATCCAAGTATTCGTCAGATTCCCTTCTACCATTAGCACCCACCCGCTGCGATAAATATAGATATATATTTACAATAATGTTGCCAAAAAATGATGCCAGAAAATGATGCAAAAAAATACTAAGATTTTTCATCAAAACAACATTCATGATTACAAGCAATTATTTATTTACAGTTATAATGTGGATAACGATCGACTTAATTTGAGAATTTAGCATTGATTTTCTATTTAATTTTTTTTTTGTTTAGTTTTTTTTAAGATTCTTCTTTTCAAAAGTGCTTTAGCAACTTCTGAAAAAACATGTGAAAGTAAACTCAGCATTAAAATGGTTAAAGAAAAACATGTCATATTTGTTATATTATATCAAAAGAAAGTGATTTCATGATCACAATGTCGGATCTTGGCAGAACATCAGTGTGACTGGACATTTGAAGGGTTGGCTCTGAGTCCGGACCAGAATTTGATGTTTCAAAATCATGTGATATCTAATTCCGGCCAGGTTTATTTTGTCAACTACAAGGCAAACATTACTGTTAGAGGTTAAGTCTGTTATAAACTGTCCCAAAGTTTGCTTAGCTTTATTATGTATACGATGGGATAGATTTTGTTAAACCATCTCGAATATATGACATTACTTATACTACTCATTATGTTATTTACTCGGTAGAACAATTTTTAATTCAATATGTTAATCAACTGTAATTCCTTATTCCATTTCAAGCAATGAGGTCTGCAAATAAACAAGGCGTCATGAAGATTTGTTTAAATTTTACTACGAGATACACAGGTTTTTTAATTTCTTGTGACTCAAAATTAATATAGATAAATAATTTCATGATATATTCTGATTATATTTGAGTAACTACCTCCTACTAAATTAGGATAAAGTTCGTTAACAATAACAAAAAAATTTATAAGAACCTTAATTGGTTCTCTAAAAAACAAATGGCTGATTAATATTTACAACAAAACCATTCAATTAGTCTACATGATGGTAGTTTAAACAAAAGTCTGACATCACAACGGGCGGGTGAGAGAAAGACAGAGATAGCTACATGTTTTCTTACTCTTTCGTGCATTCGACAATTATATTAGTTCATTCGGTCAGTACTAAAACAATAGAAAAATTAACTTCCTACTATTAATTAGTAAAACATTGTACTACATTAATAATACTACTAAGTAATCTAAATGTTCTCTCAACGTTGTCCGATATCAAAGATACATAAATATTTCACTATCAAGATTGTAGTAAACAATTCTTACTAGTCACACATTATTTGTTATAAAAATTCTACAATACGTAGACAAGTATTCTTTCATTTTCACTGAATACTTCCAATTTCACTTTATATAAATTAGCACTAACAATCTTTATCCGCTTGCATGTGTACGCACAAGCAGACTTCATTAAACACTACAAAATGTTTTTATTATTTATCTCGACTGTATCTCACAGATACCACAATTTAAACACTAGTATTGCTGTCATATTGTCCATTTTTATCACGCTCACACACCATATTTACTGCGAACAAAGACACATAATTAGAAACACAATCGGGTGAGCCCTGGATAGAATTGAATAGAATGGAATCAAAGTGTGTGATATCCTGAAATAGCATATAAACATTTGTTTAGAGTAGATGGTCATTAAATTAAAATTTCAATCAGTTGGTTTGTCAGATATGAATATAATATAATATCGCACCTTTACAATTAAAGCAGCTTAATTAAACATTTTAAGAAAATCAGCTATCTACTAATAGTATTCATCTTTAAAGTAGTTAGTCTAACATATTTGTTAGGGGTGTTCTTAAAATCACGCGTATGCAAAACAAGATCAAATTTATTTGTATTTAGATATTTTTTCTCTAAGGACCTGTCATTTTTCACACTATAGCATTGGCATATTTATAGTGTAACATTGACAAAAACAATGCCTAAGGCGTCGGAGCCAAACTTTTTATATAAAAAAGAAGGAAAGGAAATGAGTTTTATACTTTGAACGACTTATAAGCCCGCGAGTATTCTATCAGTTTATAAAATTATTATTTTTAAATTAAAAATGAAATTTTAATTTTATTTAGTAATGGTTAAGAAAACTTTCCGTCGCTTTTAAATCAAGCACATGCTCTAAACCTTATGGTATGCGCTTTAAGGCTCAAAGTATTAAAATAAAAACTGAAAACTATAATTCTTCAATCACACTTTTAGAATTTACTAAAAAAAAAATTTCCAAGAATTTTGGATTAAGCCGCTACAATTCTAAAGATGAGATATTTGAAATCACNGAATTTACAAAAAAAAAAATTACCAAGAATTTTGGATTAAGCCGCTAAAATTCTAAAGATGAGATATTTGAAATCACATGTTAGGGCCCTGTATCACCCTAACTTAATATTCAAGATAAGTTTGCATATATACGGCGGTGTGGTGTGTGGTGTGTGGTGTGCGGTGTGGCGGTGTGAGTGGTGTGTGGTGTGTGGTGTGGCGGTTTGTGTGGTGTGGCGGTGTGTGTGGTGTGGCGGTGTGTAGTGTGGCGGTGTGTAGTGTGGCGGTGTGTCGTGTGGCGGTGTGGGGGATGTGCGTGTACGTACGTTGTGTGTGGCGGCCCCCGCCCCGAGGTCGACAGCGAGCACGGCGGCGGGGGCGGCGCGCCCTCAGCTCTTTTTATGTCGGCCGCCTCTACGACGACGCTCCCGACGACTCTGCAAACACAAACATTTATTTTTATTTTACCGTCATTGACTACTCGACTTTTTAGTCTTTAATTTTCTTTAATCTTTACTGGTAGTAGAACCTCTTGTGAGTCCGCACAGGTAAGTACCACCACCTTGCCTATTTCTGCCGTGAAGCAGTAATGCGTTTCGGTTTGAAGGGCGGTGCAGCCGTTGTACTGTTAAAAATAAGACCTTACAACTCATATCTCAAGGTGGGTGGCGATGTTTACGTTGTGGATGTCTATGGGCTCCGGTAACCACTCAACACGTGGTGGGCCATCTAAGCAATAAAAAAATACAAAATAAAATAAAAAAGCTTACGGGTCCCACGACGTCCCCTTCGGCCCAACGCTCGTAGGCGCGCTCGTGTTTCAGCCACTCCTGATATTTGTACCACCATTCCTCCCATTTCACATAGTCGCCCAAAGTCAGACCTGGAAACAATAAATTTTCATTTTATACGAGACATACAAAGTCGCATTAAATAGCGAAAATATACTTCATTTTTATTACACGATGTTATTCCTTCACCGTGGATGTCAATCGTGAACATTTGTCAAGTAGGTATTTCATTAGAAAAATTGGTACCTGTCGGCAGGAATCGAACACCAGCGCATCGCTATATACGAATGCACCGGTAATAAAGATAAAGAAATTACTAATTTTAATATACTTTTATTAGCTTCAGATGTATGTATGTTAGTATGTAATGGAATCTTTGAACATGATTTTGACCCCATTCAAAACGTCCGATTAACTTTGGTATACTTACTAAACACCGATGACAATTCAATATTAAAAAAAAATTGAAAAAATTCAACTAAAAAATGAAAAATAAATAATAGTTTAAAAAAACCAACAAAATACACTTTTATAGAAAAATGGGGTGCTTTTCAGGATATTATCAACATAACCCTTCTACTCATATCTGTTCATAAAATATTTATAACTACTGATAATATGCACCCCACGCTTTTTTACAATAATTGTATTTTTCTTACACTATTTCTAATTCAAAATTAATAAAATTTATTTTCTATTGTTTAGTTGGATTTTCTATAAAAGCGTATTATGTTAGTTTTTTTAAACTATTATTTATTTAAGCCTAGAGACTGGATATATACTATACAGAAACTTTATAGTTTCTTATATAACAACCAATATGCACACACCTCGGAGATATCCCCTCTTCTTGTAATAATCATATCGTACACGGACATCGTCCCATGACGGCAAGCCTCCCGGTGCAGCTGACAGTAACTCCTCAGGGTAACTGCCCACTGGCTGGTCTCCACTGGAACAATTTTTTTTTATCAGCTAATATGTACTCCATCTACCAGTCTTAATATTAATTACTAACACTACTCTGTAGCTCCTTACTTATCCCAAGCTCTTCTCGCACACATTTTTTTCTATTTATTTATCTCATTAAATTCTACAGGCAATGTGCTTGTTCTGAACTTAGGATCTCAATGTACCAGTTTTATGATTTCAATACACCGCATATAATCTAAGTTCAAGGATACAGAGTGAAATGTACCTTACATCTAATCATTTCTTATTCAAGATCTTTTCCTACAACAAGCAAGTTTGGCGCAGCATCACCATGCATAGGTATTTAGCTTGAATTATATCCACCAATCTGTCTAACATCAAACCCTCCATAGGAACACTATTTTTGACATAAGACGGTATCCAGAAGATATAAGTCTCTTAGTCACCTTTTGCAACATCCCTGTATAAATATAGATTGAGATTGCTATTATCATCGAAAAACAACTTTGCAGGAGTTAGGGGTCTTGGGCATGACGTGGGAGGAGCTAGAACAGACTACCCAAGACCGATGTAAATGGAAAGATTTGATTCGAGCCCTACACGAATACCTATACACGAAAGAATGATAATTGTTAGGGAACCAACTAAAATTTCCTTTTTCCTAATCCACGCCATCTATCGGCTTTATAAAGATTTGTAACGCGCTTCCTAACGGGCGAAGAAAAAGAACTGAACCGACAGTGTCGCACCAACAGTAAAAAAGGCTATTTAACTCAAAAATACTGTTTTTCGCAAAGTTTGTGCTATTCAACTTGTGCCTTGTATCCGTGTGTCTTAAACTCCAGCAATCCAGAACAGTGCCCCATGGACAGAAGACCACAAACAATATCAAGCAAGCATTTGTGAGTACCTCTTCCCTCTTTCAGTCTGTTTAGTTTTCTGGGAATTCAAATTTAAGTCAACAAACCTTGTTTATACATCAATAATAGTGATGATTATCATCAAACACTCACGGGTACGGTTCGGCTGGAGCTGCAGCATCCAATTCTGGTCGTCCCTCTATTCTCACGTGCAAGGTGCTCTCGCGTCTCGTTATCTTCATGTTCTCGAGTCGAGCTGATCTATCCGCAGACCACTGCGCCATCTTCCCGAAACGTTCTGATAATGTGATTCTATTAAAAAAAAAAATTATCAATTTATAGCGATGACAGTCAATCAAATTCTTTAGACTTTTTGAAATATTTCTGATTATGTTATTGTATTATAATATCACCCCACTAGTTCATAATATAGCCAATTAGAAATAAGACTGAGAACTTGTTTGTCAAGGAGGGTGGGAGCATTTGGACTCGGATTACCTCTAAACACCCAAGGCATTTTAAACTCCATCACCCGCCTAGATATTTTCCTGAGTTTGATTTAATACTCTTTTTTTGTTTAGGTGGGTGGACGAGCTCACAGACAACCTGTTGTTAAGTGGTTACTGGAGCACATGGACATCTACAAAGTAAATGCATCACCCACCTTGCAATATAAGTTCTAAGGTCTCAAGTATAGTTACAACGGCTGCCCCACCCTTGAAACTGAACCGCATTACTGCTTCACGGCAGAAATAGGCAGGGCGGTGGTACCTACCCGTGCGGACTCACAAGAGGTCCTACTGTAGTGTAGTACATATAAGCCATGTAAAACTCCCTTCATGCGACCCTGCCCTGTAGTGTAAGTACATATAAGTGAAGGGAGTTTCTTGTTTGAATGAAAAGAACTGTCTTCTCCGAGTGTTGGTTTAATACTCCTTTATTATTACGAATTACATGGCTTATATGTACTACACTACACTACCACCAATGATGAGAGTCTCACACCTACCTCTGAGGCTGGGGTTCAGAGCTGGCATCGGAATCACTGTCGCTGTCCGTATCGTTGAGCGCAGCCGCTATGGCACCGGGGGACACGGGGCGCGCGGCGGGGGCGGGGGCGGCGGGGGGTCGCGGGGGACGACGCTCTCCCTCACGTTTGATGTGAGTGGGTGGAATTGCACCCGCAGGAGGAACCGGGCGGACCTTCATCTGCGACCGTTGCCATTCTAAGACCTGTGGATTAAATCATATATTTGACTTCAAGCATTTAAAGAAAGACGTGTTAAACCGTCGCTTCCTTCTGACATGAAAGAAGGACATACAAACACACTTTCACATTTATAATTTAATATCACTACATAGTATAAAACAAAGTTGCTTGCTGTCCCTATATCCCTATGTATGCTTAAATCTTTAAAACTAGGCCTTGGATTTTGATGCAGTTTTTTTTTAATAGATAAGAGTGATTGAAGAGGAAGGTTTATTTATATATACAATAACATTCATTAAATAGTGGAGAAATTAATAATAAATTACAGTTTCCGAAGCGAAGCGAGCGCGAGTCGCTGGTAATTCTATAAATTCATCAGAGCTGTACTGCATCCAACTACCAAAATTTTAAATTACAACTTTATTACAACTACCTATGACACATTCAAACTAGAAGCCCAGGAAAAAGATTAGCGCATCAATGGGAAAAGGATTACAGCCCAGTGTGCTAAGTGATCACTAAGCACACTGTACTAAAATGGTATTAAGATGGGCCGTATAAGATAACCTTCCAAGCAGTAAGTGTGCTTAATATCGCACATACTGTGCTAGTCACTTATGCAATTTTTGTTAACTGAACTGAGTATAAGAAAATAGATTTTTTAATAATTATTAGTGAGACGACAGAGATGTTTGCTTTTACTAATGAAGTTTAAAGTTGTAGTTTAAATATTATCATTTTATTTCTATAGCCTAGAACTATATAAGAATTATATAATAGATATTGAATTTTCCGATGTTTCTCCTGAAATATTACATAATTTGTATGAGTAACATTATTGCATCGTATGTGCGATAATATGTTGATTTAATGCAGCGGTCAGGGATTTTTTTAAATTATTACCGCAAAATATTTTTGTGTAAGTTGATCATACCCAAAAAACAAACAAAAAAAACGAAATCGCTTATTTTTAGCATCTTTCAAATTATAGAACCCATGATAATTTGAAATCACAACGATCCTAAAGAAGTTTCATTTCAATATATACTTTTTACTCACAAAAGTTTCATTTTTATCCCCCAAAATTTCATTTTACCCATTCGGGGTAATTTACCCCGGTTCCCAGACTGCTGATTTAAAGAATAATAGAGCCAATCTGCTCACCTTCTCTTCTCTCGATCTCTTACTATTTTCTCTGGCCTTAAGCAGCTCTCTTGTCGGTTGCACCGCTCTGGCCGCACCTCGGACTGGAGACGGTGCTCTACATAAACACACAAACATAAATCAACAGATGGGTTTCAATTTGAAATTTTGTACAAACATGACAGTACTGAAATTAATAACCATAATGGTACGATTCAGGCGGAGACTAAATTACTGTGATGAGAGTAAGTTACAGAGGATTTTGACTTGAGCATTTTTTTTTATTGCTTCGATGGTTGGATGAGCTCACAGTTCACCTGGTGTTAAGTGGTTACTGGAGCCCATAGACATCTACAACGAAAATGCGCCACCCACCTTGAGATATAAGTTTTAAGGTCTCAAGTATAATTACAACGGCTGAGCCGCCCTTCAAACCGAAACGCATTACTGCTTCACGGGAGAAATAGGCGGGGTGGTGGTACCTACCCGCGCGGACTCACAAGAGGTCCTCCAGTAATTACACAAATTATAATTTTGCGGGTTTGATTTTTATTACACGACTAGCGGCCTGTTCCGGCTCCGCTCGGTAAAAATTTCAATGATATTTAACGTTATTTTATTTTTTTAAATAAAAGAACACTTATTACGGCATAACTATGATAGTTAAGTCAGTACAAGTCAGAGTACATTATTTTATTCTATCATCAATAGTTTTCGCAGGGCACGTGATGTAAAGAATATTTTAGAAAAAATTTTTACACCTTGGATTATATTATTGAAGTTTTAGGATCCGGAATTTTTTTTAAAAAAAATTATAGCCTATGACACTCGGCTATAGTGTAGCTTCCAAACAGTGAAAGAATTTTTCAAATCGGTTCAGTAGTTTCGGAGCCTATTCAAGACAAACAAACAAATCTTTCCTCTTTATAATATTAGTATAGAAGTATAGATGTTATTCCTTCACCGTGGAAATCAATCGTGAACATTTGTTAAGTACGTATTTCATTAGAAAAATCGGTACCCGCCTGCGATTCGAACCACCGAATGCACCAGACGTGTTATCTTTTAGGCCACGACGACTTCAGCATGACGACGAGCATGAAAGCTAGGTACTCATAATACAAACACTGTTAAATAAACCTAATATTGTATCTGACTACTCACACTAGCACGCTATTAGTCTAAATGTTACTCACTTGGGTTTGGGTGCAGGTTTCGGAGGAGGTGCTTTCTTGTTCTTAGCCGAACAGACAGAGCATGACTCATCAGAGCAACTGCTAGCTGAAGAGCCAGATGGAGATGACTGCAAAGATAATATTAACACATGAATCAACAATAATTTTGTACAACTATCATTGCAAAACTCTTGTAAATATAGTTAGATGAGTATTTCTCTCGTTTTTTACTTCAGACATATAGTAAAAGTATCATTCATATTTCATAAGTTGCCACAAGTATTGTGTTCCTCTGAATATCATGTACATCTAACCATACATGAAGCTGAAACATTGGGAGCTATCTATATCAAAAATTCAGAAATGGTCCCAATAAGCTCTACGCAATAATATTGTTTGGGTGCATTTTCTTGTTGTCTGACCGAAATACTGTTTTTAGATCAGGCATGTTTTCATTAGAGATGAAACGAATATCCGGCCATGTTTTCACTATCCGGCCGGATACCGGATAGTAAATCAGTATCCGGCCGGATTTCGAATAGGAAATTGCACGTCAAAAGTGATTGTTTTATTAATTAGTTTGTTTAATACTCAACATTAACAAGTGGCAAATTGTGGTGAATGAATACCAAATCGTCGTCGTACCAGGTCGTCGCAATCTCTGCTCACGTGCGACAACACTAGAACGCGCACGAATATTTCCGGAAGGGCCGAATATCCGGCGCTCCGGCCTCGCAGCTTGCCGTATATTCGGTATCCGGTATCCGGCCTATCCGTTTCATCTCTAGTTTTCATCAATATTTGATAGTGAAGTAGTGCCTAACCTTTCTGGGAGGAGGCGAGGGGGGGCGGGGTCGCTCGCGGCGCTGCACCGGACTCCTCGCTCTGCGGACTGGACTGCGCCTGATCAACATCATAATTTTAAAAAAACCTTATTTACAGCATATGATCATACACCTAGTTCAACAACCAGACCACTTCTAGGTTTTAATTACCTTTTTTTTTTACCTACCTAAGCTGATATCCTTGAGAGGCTATATCAGCGTCGCCTTAACTACTAGGTGAGCTTACGGGGCTCAAACCTGATGACGTTGCTAACACTGGCCCTAGCAAGAGCCGTGCTTCGCAGAATCTACCGCCGGATCGGAAACGCGACCCACTGAGAAGATCTGGCGAGAAACTCGGTGGGCTGTGTCTGTGGGTTAATTTACTCGTCGAGCCCTTCGTCGCAAGCGACGGGTTCGACGAGAACGATGACCAGTTTAATTACCAAAACAAATTCGTCGCTCTAAACTATTATTTAAGATATTTTTAATAGAAGACCATACCATTCACACGACCATAATATTTTCAAAGATATCATTACGGAATGTGATACTTCACTGCTTCTTAATTACGTACCTTATAGGGCTCCTTCTAGGGCTGTGTCGGGGCGCGCGAATAGGGCTGCGGGTCCGGCGCCGGACCGGAGATCTGCATGAACAATATCACAATCAATATATAGCTGGAAGTTTTTTTTTTTATTGCTATTGTTGTGGTTACTGAAGCCCATAGACATCTACAACGTAAATGCGCCACCCACCTTGAGAAATCAGTTCTAAGGTCTCAGTATAGTTACAACGGCTGCCCTGTCCTTCAAACCGAAACACATTATTGCTTCACGGCAGAAATAGGCAGGATGGTGGTACCTATCCACGCGGACTCACAAGAGGTTCTACCACCAGTTGTTCGTCATGTATTACACTTATATCTTTTTCCGTCCCATAATCTACCTACCTGAGATCCTATTTCACTGGTTGTAGGTTATATTATAAGCCTGCACAAAGGACCATCTCAAGTGCTATTTTATGTATTTCTGCAATTGATTTTTCTATCGGAATAGGCATTTAACCTAATATCTGAAGTTAAATAGCTCGCTTTGGAAACAACCTAAAGTATGTTAGGTTTATATGGCAATTGCTCAATAACCTCATTCTATTCTGAGCCCTTTCTTGATGACCATGGTCATTTAAAGAGGCTAAAAACAGTGAAGATGAAGGCAATCAATCACAACGACTTACCTAGACTTCCGAGGCGGCGGAGGAGACCTGGAACGCCGGGGTGAGCCCGAGCCGGATCTCCTCTCCAGGTATAACTGCTTATAGCCAGTATGTCGCCACCTGAACAAAACAATGTAAAATTTAGTTCGATTTACTAAGAATGAGAACTAAACTATAGAGGGCAGTATTATGAATATTTATACCACGGGTGGCCAACTTGACTAATACCAAGATCTACTGTCTACTGACAAAAAAATCTGCGACCTACCAATGACATTTCTTGAAATTTAATGAAACAATGTAGTCAATGTAATTCAGTATACAAATAAGTATAATAGTATATTACTTTTATTAAAAATATTAAAATAAACCTGAAATTATATAAAAGAAAACTATTCTGTGGAAAAGAGGATAAATATGTGATGTGACATAATGGTCATTAACAAATGATATAAGATGAAGATGATGCGTGCAGCAATTGGTGATTACATTGCGCAGTTTGTTCCATGTATTTATATATTTTTGTCTTTCACGATCGACTGAACTAATAGTCGCGATTTACCGGTTGGCCACCTCTGATTTATACGATTGTAGGCATACTTTTATGTAGATAGAGATACGTAGTATTTCTATTGTAGGCTTGCCTTTGCTTCTGGTCGACAATAGCTACTCTCAATTAAGCAGGCCATATGCTCACTGACTACAAGGATAAAAAGATTAGATTTTGAATAGAGCCGTTTTTGCATTGAAGGGGTTGTGACTTCTAACCTAAGAACTAATACTAAAACTATGAATAGAAAAGTCATAATGAGTGTTTGGTTTCAAGACAATAGACCAGATAATATTTTATTCAAAGGATTACAAAATAAATTATAAGGTTAATTTTCATTTGTATTTGTACTATATATACCTTTAAGAGAGAAATAAATAAATAATTATAATTATTATTTTGTAATAAATACTCAGTCTAAATGTAAGCTAGATATTTATCTTCTATACTTATTGTCCTCATCAATTTAAGAATGACGACTGCGACTTCTGCTAATGATGATATCTAACAGCCATCACCTGTTCGGGTCCTTTTCCTCCACTTCCAGCAGCTTCCTATCCCAGCTGCCGGGCGAAGACTGCCTCGCTCTCTTCATCACGTTGTCAATCTCTTTACGACGGCCTGCCGGATTTGAAGGATCTATAGATAGATAGTTAATATTTAGACTTTCAAGGTCGGGGATCTGACAAATATGTTCATTATAATATCGACGCTTGAAAGACAAAACGTGACTAAGCGAATTTTTAGAGTAGACTAATTTAAAGTTGAAATACCTGAAAACAAAATTTATTTTAACGAATCCAGCTGTAGTAGAATCTAGCTCAGTGATTCTCATCCACTGTTCCGCAGCACTTTTGTGTGCCGCCAAATTTCAAAAGTGTGCCGCCAAATTTTGCGAATATATAATAATGTTAATATTATTAAATTATATCATTTTAAAAGAAAAATATTTTAAACATGAATATATATTAAATCCACAAAAAAAATTTATAGTATATTTTAGTTTATTTCGTATATTAAAATTTTTTGATAAACTATTTATGCAGTGTGTTGGAGTAAATAAATAATTTCTTTTTTTTGTGTGCCGCCAAATTTTGAAATCGTTAAATATGTGCCGCAACAAAAAAAAAGGTTGAGAATCACTGATCTGTAGGATTGAAATGATTTTAATAGACCTAGAAATATATTTTTTTGGCGCATCGAATATGGTTATTGCCTATCATTTATGTACAAAGCAGTTATTGTTGCTTAGTCACGTTTGCCTTTCAAGCGTCGATATACATAATGTTGAATGAAAAACTATAAAAAACTTGGCAACCGTTTGAGCGATATATAGCAGAGTGGTTTATAAATGTTCAGAATTACAATTTAAAAACTCTTTTTGTACTTCTTGAATCATATCTTCATCACAAATATGTTATGGAATAGTCGACTGACGTTGTAGTTAACGTAAATCAACAGGACACATGAAGAATACAATAAAATTTAGCACACATAAGTAGTTTAAAACTTCTAAGAGATTTTTGAGATATATGTGACATTATGCCTTGGAGTGCAATTTATATAGTGATGACTTTTACATTTCAACATTGTATTTCATCTGTATGTATGTAACTAAATCAGTATGTAACTAAATTATTTACGATTTGCTTTTTCTTGTTCAAATTCTATTTGTTGTTTATAACTATTATTTTGAAGCAATAATCAAGTAGTAGTAGATCCAGTTATGGACCTGCAGAAATTGTATCCGTATAAGGCAAATTTCTTTCAAATATTAGTGTTCACTCACCAGTTATTCGTGAATGCTGTGGGTTTCTGTCCATGTGCAACCGGTTCTTCGAGGCAGCCTCGACTGCTCGAGACATGGATCCATTGCGTCGCGACGACATCCTGGATAAAAATACTAATGTCAAGCTTGCACTACAGATACGAATGTTTCAATTTCCTTTTATTGGACACATAAGTTTTTCTTTATTATTTTCTTATCCTACCTAAGCTGAGAGCCTTAAGAGGCTATATCAGCGTAACCTTAACTAGTAGGTGAGCTCACGGGGCTCAAACCTGATGACGTTACTAACACGAAGCCTAGCAAGAGCCGTGCTTCGTAGAATCTACCACCGGATCGGAAACGCGACCTACTGAGAAGTTCTGGCGAGAAATCCAGTGGGCTGTGTCTGAGGGTTAAGTTTGCTTTTCTTTGTTAAGTAATCTTATATCTTTAAACGAGCAATTGTTGTATATAAATATATATATAATCTGGATCTCGGAAACGGCTCCAACGATTTTCATAAAATTTAGTATACAGTGGATTTCGGGGGCGATAAATCGATCTAGCTACGATTCATTTTCAGAAAATGTTGTTTTATTCGTGTTTTCAATAATCAGCTTTATTGATAATTTTGATTTTTTCTATAACCAGTTCATATTTTTATTATTATTCTGAAGGTAAGATCGAAAAATACTATCCATATTTCATCATTTTATCAATATGTAAGTAATTCGTATTTAAATATAATTTCTAAAAAACAATATTTATCAAAAAGAAAAATACTGAGCAAAGCTCAGTCATTATCTAGTAGTACCCAAAGACAAAGAGTATTGTAATGATGACAGTAACAAACTCCTCAAATCCAATCTCTTCAAAGCTTTTGTCTAACCGACTATTTAAGATGCATTAATTCTGAGTATCGGAAGTATGTTGTCCTTGACATAAATATATGCACTCGGCATTACAATATCCTTGATAACGTAGCCGCCAGTTACAATCACTAAGTTTGTAGACTGCCCATGAATGGAATTCCTCTGCCATTGGTGGCAATAGAAAGGAAGTGATAATAAAGGATAAATACAATTATGGTGAGGTGAGTTTCAAAAATTCTAGATACTTCTACATACTTTTGTTCTTATTAAATAAGCAAGTTGGAAAAAGTCAGTCTAAAAAGTACTTGATATAAAATATTAATTTTATGAGTTCACATATTTAAGCATTAGGCATATCCCTCAAACCTAAATTGCACAATTATCTGCCAGAGTGGAAATTAATATTAAACTAGTTTTAAACCAATTCCAAATAGATACGGAAACATCATAATAACACCAAACGTAAAGAGGCAAAGGAGGTTAGGATTTAGACGATTTTATCATTTAAAATTGTAGTTGATTAAACTAGTAATTGCAGTAATATATCTATTTAATGTTTTTATACTAATTATTTAAATATTAAATTAATATTTGGACCATTGGAGATGATTTGTTAAATGTAAATTATAAGCTACCAACAACAACTTCTAGTAACGTTTCAACAACATTACTTGTAAGTTACTTGCCTTAGTTTTATTATAAACTAATGAACTAGGAACTGTCCTTTATTATTGATAAAATAAGATGGTAGATTTTTTCCTTCTTACTTGACACTTATTTCGTTATGTTTTTGCTAATTCACACTATATATTTATAAACCTATATGCCTATAAGCCTATATGTTATTCTGATGTGTTAGCTATATTATTGCAAAGTTTCATCCAAATCCATCCAGTAGTTTTTGTGTGAAAGAGTAACAAACATACACCCATACATTCTCACAAACTTTTGCGTTTATAATATTCGTAGGATATGGATTGCCACAGTGAACAAGAGACTAAGAGTGTGAACCTGAGAAGGGATCAGATCTCTTGAATATGGCATTAGGGAAATAAAAGGCTACCGATATGGAAGTTTTTTTTTACGTCTCTCATGTATGAGCAAGACCACCTTGATGAAGACAGTAGCCACGCTTTCTAAAAATAGTTCTAACATTGCTCACTTCATTGCATAATTATCTATACATAAAAAGGTCAAACAAAACATTTAAGTACCATTTATTTATCTCTTGATCAAGTAGTTTTACTCAATTGTTTAGTAGCTTTATCAGTAGCTATGGATGAGCTTTACCAGGCAATAAATTAGCTTCTTTTAGGAAATAGAAATCAAAATCCAAACATAAAAGCTAAGCAAGAAACTTTAATAATATATACAGGGAATCTAAGGCTAAAAATGACAGAACATATTGTAAAATTTCATTCATTAGATATACCTACTTACCAAAATTATAATTAGTTACTAAAACGAATCAAGAACACTATTGCCTTTTGGAATAAAATTTTTTTTTACAGTGACAGTGTTCTAAAGAAGAACATGATATACAAATAGAACCCATATTTTATTTTCATTATATACAATTGCATGTGGAACAACCTACTGGATACTGGAGTCAATACAGAATTTCCCATTTGTTGGCCAATTGGTTGTAATTATGACTTGCAGACCAATTATTCATATTCTATTTCTAATTTCATATTTACCCATAAGGGTATCATTCTTGTGTCATAATCCCAGCACCCATATGACAGCTGAAAATCTTAGCTTAAGATTTTGATTTGGAAAGTTAAGATGCACCTTGCTCTGGAAATATTGTTTGATACCGTTTTTAATTTACAATGCCGTGTTGGGGTAGAATGTGGGGTGCACCATTGATATTATATTGTAGTGGGTGTAACCAATTATTATTAAGTGGTCAGCAAGAATTTCCTTTGAACTTTATGTTAGAGTTAAAATATACTATATATTTTTTTAAATAACTTGACAAGAGACTTTTTATAATAGGTGCTGCTTTTGATCTGTCTATTTTAGAAGACTATACCTCATTTGAAGCTTCAATTAATTGGCAATCAATTTAGGCTTTAGATTTTCAGAGTTTCAGTTAATGACTCACATATTAGTCGAGACATTAATATTTGTATGCACAATGCGGTGTGTAGGTGAACCGTCATCTTAAATGAAGTAATTTGTGACCAAAGAAACAAGCCCAAAGTTGAAGGTAAGTTGACCTACATACTTTTATCTGTGAACTGTTTTATGTTATTTCATTTTCGTGAATAAATTGTAGTTTTATTTAGTAATTCTTTTTTGTGACAATCAATACCAAGTTTTCCGATTTTTTTTAAAGTGATTTTTTTAGAAAGACAGCATTTAGCAATACATATTAATTAATAATAATGCGTACATGGTATATATTCCATATTATTAACCAGTTTGAGCTATTATTACTCATCAATTCTAAAATAGCTTTCACAAAATGGCCGCAGCGTTTTAGCTACAATCGATAATTCACCTGTCATGAGCAAATCAAAAGGCTTACCTCTATAGCGGGATATTACGAGATCACGGAGCAAGGGCTCCAGACGCGCGCGACGAGACGCGTGGGGCGAAGCCCCAGGGCCACACGGCGGCCGCGCACGACGACCGGCGCCGCTGTAAGACATACTTAGCGTAAGAAAGTACGCGCGCGGATACACGGCGCCTTTGCACGGGACTGAGGACGCGGACGGGAGGAGCCCACGCGAGGCGGCATGCCAGCCCTCGGGCTCCCGCGACGAGGCCCTGCGGTTTGGGCCATACGCGAATCGATGCGCGGTGCACCCTTTCTCCTTTGTTCCAATACATTCCATGGTTGATGGTCCCTCGATGACGTCTGTATCCGACAACATACAAACTATAACCACCTTATTTTATACACAAAACAAAGTTACGAACCAGTTGTAAAACACCAAAACTTTTCACTGGAGTTTAAGACGAATTTTCGTCGATGAAATCTCGCTAGAATCCGCGACACGCCTCTCCGCGAGCATCGGCCATTTTGTTTTGCAAATGGTGGAGAAATTTCATTGACCTTTCCGTACGTTTTATTCGAAGGATAGCAAAAAAAATTCTTTTGTTTGTCACACATATTTTTTAATAGAAAAGAAATGTACTTCAACTCTACATATTCAAATGTATTTTTTTAAACTATGAAAAAGGAAAAATAATGGTGTTTATTCCTGTAAAAATTTAAACAAGGTTGAGCCATTGAAATTATTTGCATTAATAATACGTTCAGGATTTAGTGTTGCTACTGTTGCCTAAAAACTACTAAATCCAATAAACTTAATTTTTTGCTGTTTTCGGGAATCCCAGTATTGCATTAATGTTTAAGGAAATATTCCCTGAGGTTGTATATCTCTCAGTTATGTAGATCCTTGGCATTCAACATACCACGACTCCCACATATATGAGGAATATACAACCTCACCACAGGTAAACATAAATAATGCATTCTGTATACCGTTAACAATCGCCTGACATTTCTGTCCAGTGCATTCAATTCTGATTGCGTCCACCTTAATATCTTGTTTCCGCCTGATAATGATAGCTTTTTAAGACCTATAAAAGACGACCTAAGAACCGATATTTTTTATCATTGAAGTATTACTGGTGTCCCGGAGGCCTTTCCAGGTTCACAAAAACACCTAACAACTCAAGAGCAGCTGCTTCGCGAACGAATCTACTATCGGGTCTCTAAACGATTGTTTCATAACTGCGCCCACAATATTGAGCACTCCGAACATACTGTTACGCCGGTAAGAGTATCGCCATCTATCGCCGAATAGTCGAACGAATATCGAAGGATCTAGTAGCATCGAGAACGGTCGAGAAGTACAACGCCATCTATTGTCAGATAGCAGAAACACACAATACTAGACTTTTGTGTAATATTCTCGACGATTCTAGGGATTTCGTCTCGACTATAAAAGCGTTGCAGAGATGGCACGCAGTCAGTTAGTAATCGGAACTACCTACTCGAATCGAAACAGCGAACGGATCACTTGAAGCGAAGCGGAAGAAGCGAAAAGCAAAATTTTTAAAGTGTTTGTGAAGTGTTTTATGTGTTCTAAATGCTAATACAGTGTTAACTTGTACTTCGGTAGCTTTTTTTATTTATACCGAACCCCAGCGCGTAACAATACCAAGATACTTGTAGGTTTCCGATTCACAAAGAGATTTGAGAGCCACACTATGGTTAAAGTTGTAAGCAATCTGAGTTTACGAATTTCTCTCTCTGTACAGCTATGAACGCTATGAATTAAAAATGATTAATGTTAATAAGGTACAGAAAAATACCATATTTCAGAGCAAATTGTTGATGGATTATTATTAATATTGTATTCGTTTTAAAAAGACCATAGCCATCAAATAATTGGATTTGGTTCATGAATTCAAAAAAACATTTAAAGAGAATTATTGCAGAAAGAAATATATCCACTTATCTGAATGTCAATGGACTAGATAGGTGATTTCTTTAAAATACATTTTCGTAATTAAAATGCTAAAACAAAATACGATACAGAAAGTCTTGTTTTGACCTCTGCGATTGAGTTTATTGCACCCCGTATACAACATACATAATAATATGTACATACAAAATCATACATAATCAAGTAAAAAATATATTTATTCTGTCTTCAGATGTGTCTGTTATTTTTATTGATTAGATGGACGAGCTCACGGCCCACCTGATGTTATGTGCTTACCGCATTACTGCTTCACGGCAGAAACAGTCAAGGCGGTCGTACCTACCACCACCCTAGGTAGGTACCACCACCCCGCCTATTTCCGCCGTGAAGCAGTAATGCGTTTCGGTTCGAAGGATGGGGTAGCCGTTGTAACTATACTGAGACCTTAGAACTTATATCTCGAGGTGGTTGGCGCATTTGCGTTGTAGATGTCTATGGGTTCCAGTGACCACTTAACATCAGGTGGGCTGTGAGCTCGTCCACCCATCTAGGCAATAAAAAAAAGCAAAAAAAAAACCTACCCATGCGGACTCACGAGAGGTCTTATCATCAGTAATTACGCAAATTATAGTTTTGCGGGTTTCATTTTTATTACACGATGTTATTCCTTCACCGTGGAAGTCAATCGTGAACATTTCTTGAGTACGTATTTCATTAGAATAATTGGTACCCGCCTGCGGGATTCGAACGCCGGTGCATCGCTACATACGAATGCACCGGGCGTCTTATACTTTAGGCCACGACGACTTCACGCAGACTTCGAGCAGCACTGGCACTTGCAAGCTAATCTCAGCACGGACAATTATAACTAACTGACACGACCTCTGGTCTCAGAGGGGGGAGTGGTGTGGCGGGTAGTCATCATACAACGTAAGATATTTGACAGATCCCTAAATCTCGCTTACACCATTTTCAAGATAAGCTCGCATATATGAGTCGTCTATTATCAAAGGTGGCAATCTGTGCATTTGGACAAAATTTTTTATTGATTTGTCAATACAGATTGATTTTAATATAATCGTCTTCTTCAAAGAATACGGTTCAAAACCTGCATTAAATAAAGGTTAATAGTTAACCTGTTATTTATCTAAGATGTCGTTCCGAAGAGTTTTGTGACTGCCAATGGAATACAAAGTCAATAATTGGTTTTTCTGATTTACCAATCATTGTCCAAAAGTCAGATTGCCGGCTTTGATAATAGTCGACTCATATACAAGTTCCGAACAACAACATTCGGACCGTCGGTCTACCGAGCAATATCACCCGCTCGGTGGAAGATCTTGCCTTTGCTGTATACCTAGAATGTGATTGCGACTTCTCCGTGGTTAGTTTGGTGGAGGGCATACAAAGATTTTTAGACGTCCTTACGCTATCCAGCAGATCCAATAACCCTTGCATTAGGCACCTTTAGCTCTAACACTAGGAGCAGGCCTAGGGACCCCGGTAATCGTACTCGTCGAACTCGGCAAAGAGTTCGACGTGCAACCTAACCCATGTATCAGCTAGCTGAGTTTCTCGTCGGATCTTCTCAGCGGATCGCGATTCCGATCTGGCAGTAGATTCATTCGTGAAGCAGCTGCTCCTGAGTTGTTAGGTCTCCTTCGGAAGCGCCCGGGTAGCTGTTAGCAAGTCCCACCCCTCCTGGCTGAGGTCTTGCTCGCCCACCTGTCCTGGTAAAACTGGGAAGGCCTCCTGGCCATCAGTAATCTCTCAAACATAAAAAAATATATTAAAAAAAGCACGTGCGGCACTCTGGGACTGCCGCGGTAAAGCTATTGCATAGCATTTTTTATCAACTTATGCAATTATAATTCGACAATAATAATTTAATATTAAAACAATAATAAAATAAGATCACGCTATATTTGTAAACATTAACAAAAGTAAAACATTAACTGTCCCCTTCACGCTCATAAGCTAGACCGCGCGAGAGAGAGATGGGCAGACTTTTCATGATGCACATGCAGTGCGACGTCACGCCGCGCGCTTATTCACAAACACTACACACGCGCAACGTGTGAATGTGTTGAACGCGAGCTACATGGTAAGCGGAGTGGGGTGTTAGGTTTTATTTTAGTTACGGAATTACTTGATTCGGTCGCCGCGCTCAAAGACTGCGATAAAAGCTATGCAATAGCTTAAACAAAATAAAAAACAAAGATTAGATATCGAATTGTGAATCTAATCCATACCTGAATCTATTATAGAGCACGCACAAAAAAAACCATTAAAATCGATCCAGCCGTTTTTTCCCTACCTATTCGCTAGTAACTTATGGGGCTATTCCAGCTATACTAAATTTGCGTAATCACTGATGGTAGGACCTCTTGTGAGTCCGCACGGGTAGGTACCACCGCCCCGCCTATTTCTGCCGTGAAGCAGTAATGCGTTTCGGCTTGAAGGGTGGGGCAGCCGTTGTAACTATACTGAGACCTTAGAACTTATATCTCAAGGTGTGTGGCGCATTTACGTTGTAGATGTCTATGGGTTACAGTAACCACTTAACACCAGGTGGGCTGTGAGCTCACGGGCTCAACCTGAGAGAATATGCTAACACTAGCCCTGGCTAGAAGAAAATCGCTAATCAGTGGGCTGTGTCTATGACGTAGAAGGTCACGTCACATAAACACGCAGAGAAAATTTATTTAAACAAATACATATATGTATTATAACCTCTATACGATTTATCTTAAAAGAGGTTAATATGTTATAAAGATGACATAAATGAATTTTTGAATATTGAAACATCAGAAGAAGGAACATTAGTAATATAAAAAAACATTTTGGAATATTGAAATATAAAAAAGATAAAAAAGTGGTGAAGCAATAGCTTTAAATGTTGTTTCTCTTTATATAGCAACTCAATTTGTGCTATAGTTTTACTAGGCTAAGCTGTATATTGATGTAAATATAATAAATAATAAATATAATAAATATTTTACTAACAATCACGCCACGTTAACTGGTCCCGTGATAAGTTCGTAAAGAACTTGTGTTACAGGTACCAGATAACGGAAATAAATGTAAGATTTTTATTATACACATACATATATTTAATATACATCCATAACCCTGGAAAAGACATTTTTATATTTATCATACAAATATCTTCCCTTGGCGGGATTCGAACCCGCGACCCCGACCCCGACGCGAATAATACATTATATAAAATATAATAGGCGAATTTTTTTTTCAGCACGTTTGCTACAACAGATAGCTACAATTAGATCATCGATGGGACATATTATCTGATATACAATCACAAAAAAACTAGCCGCCATTTAAAAAAAAAAAAAACAAAAACGAAAGCTTCAAAATATACAGCTAATGGACAACATTCAAAAAGAAATCGTCATAGCAACGCAACATCGAACGGTTCCAAATTTAAAACGTCAGAGATTAAGCGAACTTAAATGATGATAGATGGGCCATTCAGTGAACGGGAATTAAAAATTTCAAATGTCATACGATTATGATCATTAACGGAACGTACACTAAGCCTATTGTTGCATATGTTGGTGTTCATCGAAACTCAAAATCTTCTGTTCAAAA